ACAAATCAATAGGAAGAATGAAAAAATTTCAACTTGATGACAAAATAAACAAAAAAAAACATCAAACAAAAAATTAAACTTGGCCAAAATATCAGTCAAAGGCTGTGAAAAATTCAGTGAAAAAATTATGGCCCCTACAACTAAGGGTCATCTAGTTGACACTTAAAAAAAAAAATTAATAATAAACATTTAAAACTAAGGGTTGTCGGTGACAACCCTTAAAAAAAAAATAATAATAATAATAATAAAAAATTACATTTTGGTCTTTGTGTGTCAGCCAAGGTTGACACACAAAGACCAAACAAATTCTTTGGTCTCCTGCGCGCAGGAGACCGAAATTGTGTTATTGTTACATCTGCTAAAAGAAGTTTTTCAAAATTGAAATTATTAAAATCTTATTTACAATCTACCATGTTACAAGAATGATTGAATGACCTAACTTTGATAGCCATTGAACAAGATTTGCTAGAACATATTGATTACGAAAATTTAATTAGTGAGTTAAACTTCTAGAAATGCGAGAAGAAATATTTTTACATGATTTGTTTCATTTCAAAGTTTACACGTGGTATATAATGTTTCTGATTTTAATATTTGCTCATATGGAATTATACGAAGAGTTTAGTGGCTTAAATCGTTCTTTGTTGATGACATATGAATTTTGATGAAGTTTGAGAGGTGCATTTAAACTTTACTTTTACTTTTCTTATTCGAGTCATTTAAAAAAATAAACAACATTTAAAAATCATAATTTTGCGATGATATAATATTATTGAAATATTTTTTTTAATTTCATGGAATGGACACCATTTTAAAATGTCGTATATGACATCCAAAATTTCAAGGCCGACCCCGATGTCATGTAGCACTATTACGTGTTATATATTAATGTGGATTGCCAAATCAGAAATGTAAAAAGTAAAATTAACGAGCTCGGGGCTGGTCATGCAATTAGAATTTACAGAGTTCTAACAAAAGTGTGTCCAAGATGCAAAGATGGTGTCATCTACCTTGACTTTTGGAAGTGTGTCAAACATGTAAAGACAATACAACCTAGTAAAAAATTTTAGGAAAAAACTTGTACGACGTTGCAACTATTACGAGAAATTAATGGAATAAAGTAGTTTCACAAGATAAGTTACTGCATCTCAAGACGATTGTTGTCCGAGAATTCCTTTATATATGTTTAATTTTTCTTAGGAATTAGTTGTTTGTTTGTTTGTTCTTAGGCGCGATGGAAGATGATTAACTCAAAGGAAAAAGGGAATAAAAACTACTCCAAGAGAGACTGTCAAACACTAAAAATGGCTAGTAGAAAATTCTGAAATGAAGAAACAGTTAAAATGGCATGATTAATAAAAGATTTCCCATACTACCAAATGATCAGATTTGTATGGTTACTACTCAATTAAATACATGTAATTTTTTTTTGAAATTAAAAGCATTTTTGTTGTTATTTTCGAACTTATAAGAAGTCAAACCTTCTAAATCCCATTGCTTACACAAGACATAACTTATAAATATACTTAATTAATATGCAAACTCTTTGATGTTCCAAAAGTACACCTAAGATGCCCCTTGAAATGAGTCTTGGGGTAGCCTAGAATAAATAACTCACATTAAAAAACAATGAATTATTGAACTAAATTTTACTTTTCAACTTGTTAGGAGCCACTACTTCTATTTCAAGAATTATATAATTAGCCAATTTGCATATTCCCATGGTCCACAACCTTATTTAAGGAGACTATATTGATTTTGGATTCTAACAGTATATGCACAAGAAGAAAAATTCCAAAGGTTGATATGGGAATCTGTGCATCTGTTGCATCTGAAATACATGATGATGCATATGGCCAAGAAAATGCTGTATACTGCACAGAAATTGGTAATACAAATGGAGTACAAGTAATTGGTTCTACTTACTCTCATCCAGGAAGCAAAGGGTTGAACCAAGATTCTGCAATTCTCATCCAGGTACGTCGATAATCTTTTGTGGCATGTTTGATAGACTTGACTGGACTGTACTATATGGGCTTAACGAGAAAAAATTGAAGTTAAAAGTTTGTTTGTTGAGCTAGGAAATTATGAGTGGCATATACTCAAGCCTGCAGATTGGCATGCAAATTCTCATACTTGATGGCTTTTCTTGGGGACAAGAAGAAAGCTTACTTTATCAATGTTCAATCTTGTCATTTTTTTTTTTAAATACTAATCTTATTCCACAAACCCTTCGTAAAACTATTCACAAATTCGATTTATTTCACACACGGAGTCCTATTTTGGCTTAAACATGATGTTAGGACATGTTTCATATGCGCTAGTCACAATACGTCTTACCAAAGAAGTTATCAGATTTAATTGGTGAATAAGATAGTTCAATGAGATCAATTTCAGGTAAAATAGGATGCTTTAAAATTAGGCTTCTGAATATGAAACTTTTTAATTTTGGCAGGGATATGGAATTGAAGATGGAGCTTTCTGTGGAGTTTTTGATGGACATGGCAGAAATGGTCATATTGTGAGCAAGTTAGTGAGAAACCTATTGCCGTCATTGCTTCTTAACCAGAGAAATGCTATAGCAAAGATCAGCACATTAGCATTAAACACATCTTCTCCTAAACAAGGTGAAAAGGTGAATGGTGAATCAGCACCAAGCAAGAATTTCCTGAAATGGAAAGAGGCTGGTTTGAGTGCCTATAAAGTGATGGACAAGGAACTCAAGCTTCTTGACAAATTTGACTTCTCCTGCAGTGGAACTACTGCTGTTGTTGTCATAAAACAGGTACGCTAAAAGGCCATGTGAGATTTGTGTTTCCTTATTCCCGGGGTAGCTTGTCCAGAGTACCAGTCTTTCACTTAGGGGTCGTCCTTAGGCACCTGGATCCGAATCTGGTTAAGCTCATCTGCTGGATGAGTCTTTCTCTCTCGAGTGCCTGAACCCTCTAGTGCCTCCGGGAATAATTAGGTAACAAGGGACAAGTCACAAAATATATTGAAGAAAACACGGGGATAATGTAGTCTTATCTCTTCGTTTTTTATTGCAAATTTGTGGGAATCAAACAGTGTTAATTGTTGATTAGTCAAATCTTTTGACAGGGGGAAGATCTTGTTATTGCAAATGTTGGTGATTCCAGAGCAGTTTTGGGAACAAATACTCCTAAAGGAATCAAGGCAGTTCAATTAACTACTGATTTCAAACCTGACGTGCATGGTAAGACCCTTCGCAAAATCCTACATTGGACGCACTGTCTAGTTAGAATGCATGTCCGAATGTCTCTAAGAACACACTAGTAGTCACCACACGTGCTCGAGCAAAATAAATTTAATGAATGTAGACCGGTATAGACAAATCTCTAACCTTAGCAAAAACTCATTGTTTAAGAACAGTTTTATCACATAACAAGATGTTCATCAGACAAATTGTAATGCAGAGGAGGCTGAGAGAATTAGGAAGTGCAACGGAAGGGTGCTAGCATTAAAAGAAGAACCACACATTCAAAGAGTTTGGCTACCCAACGAGGACTCTCCTGGCCTGGCCATGTCTCGAGCTTTTGGGGACTTTTTACTCAAGTATCACGGCATAATCTCCATCCCAGATATCTCCTATCACCATATATCCCCAAATGATCAGTTTCTAGTACTGGCTACAGATGGGGTAAGGCCACTATACTCATCAAAAGCTCCATTTTCACAGTGCTAATGTTGTTTATGGAACTAAGTTTTGCTTCTTATGTTGGATTTAAGGTGTGGGATGTGCTTAACAATGATCAAGTCATATCCATAGTGGCCTCAGCCGATAACGAAGAGGCTGCAGCAAAAGCAGTGGTGGATGCCTCGACTGCTGCTTGGAAACGCAAGTTTCCAAACTCGAAAAGAGACGACTGCACAGTTATCTGCCTCTTCTTGCAAACGAGAATCAACATGATATGCAACTAAATATATCAGAGCTACGAAAAATACCACAATTTGATCATGTTACTTTACGATATGTGGAAGAAACGCTACCAGGGTAGCTCGTCTAGGATTGAGGAGTGGGAAAACCAGAGGATTGAAGTACAACAAGTTTTTTCATATAAAATGCTGTGAATGGCAATGGTTGCTGTTGTTTTTACGTTCCTAGTAGTTTTGTTTTAGTTCTATGGGTATTGTGCCTCGTGAAAATCAAATCAAAGCAGCATAAAGAATGTTCTATGACTTAAAAGCTCGTTGAACATTTTAGGACCGGACTAAATAAAGACGAGAATATGAGCAATATGAAAAATAATGATCACAAGAACACAAGATTTATGTAGAACCCAAATTCGGGAAATCCACGGGCGAAGGAGGAGAATTTCAACATACCAAGAAACTAAAATTGTTTTACAAGATTTGATACTTTCAATCTAAACCTAAACAATCCTCTCAAGTTTCTAATGTACATAAAAATGATCTTATTATTACTTGAGCCTTTTAAGAGCCTACACCAAGTGTAGTATATATAGGAGCCCAATCATGGTGTTTTGGATGAAGTAGAGCTCAAGGATCCCAATTAAAATCGAATTATGAGACTTTCCAAGCCGTCCAGGTGGCGGCACCACCTCCGGCACGTTGGAGCCCTGCTGACTTCCTGCCCATTCCCAACGCCCCGGTGCCCACCATGTGTCCTCCTCTTGCGATGCCAGCGCCTAGGCGCCCCATTTGGCCTCAATGCTTCCGAAACACTTATTCGTCCATTTCAAAGTCGTTTTCTCAATCAATCACAATCCTTAATGAAATTTGATCAATTAACAATTCGGACTTTCAAACCAAAATTATTTTGGCTTCTTCCATGAACCAAACTTCCAAATCACATGGAATTTGAGTCATATCATAACAAACTCCACCTTAACACAAATTCCATAGTAAGGAATTAAGTATTTACTCTTCAACAAATCATTCTCCAACTCTTTCACCATGTCCCTTTCGGGCATACTCTATAACTGTGAACAAAATTCAAGTTCTGCTGGTAGAACTACCTTGGGCCCCAAACCTACTTGAATCAAATCCACCTGAGTTATCAAACCTGCTCGAATTATCCTCACGAACAACATGATCAATAAGATAACAACTAGCTCCACTTAAACTATTGGCAGGTCTCTATTATCATTGCTTGAATCACCACGAACAACCCAATCATAACCAATTCCGTCTGAGTTATTGCTTATCAAACCATAAGCTGCAGCTACATCTAAAGTGATCGTCGAACCTTCCAAAACATATAACCAGAACTTTCTCCACCCCTTTAACAAAACCTAACACCTTTGCTAACTTTCAGAACTCTACCTCCACCGGTATAACTGTACCATTTTAAATTAAGAGTACTTAAGAAGATAAAATCTCTATTTAAAGTGGGAACATGTCTCACTAAACCATGTGTTTTGACCGTCCAATCAAACATCTTGATCTATCCTTACCAATACCAGCTATTTTATAAGGTTCATTATTTTCCATCACCACGGAACCCTTTGTAATTATTTCATATGATGAAAACCAATCCCGGTTAGAACACATATGAAAAGTACAAGCTGTATCAAGAATCCAATCTTCATCAAGTTTAGAGTCACTATTAGAAATCACCAAAAAATCTCCATCACTGCAGTCTTCTTCTGCAAGACTGACACACCAAAATTTCCTAGTTATCCATTCTGATCTATAGTAGCAAACCATGTACATCTTGTTGTTGCAATACCAACATGACTTTATCATTGGTGTTATCCTTGACACCGCTCCTTTCATGAACAACAGACCCGCTGCTTGGGCCTCAGATTCGACGACCAGCTACTTCATCTTCTCCTTAGAATAAAGTGAATCATATACATTGTCAATAATGAAAGTATCTCTACTATACGAGATGGTGTCCCTGAATGTCATATAAGAAGAGGGCAATGAACTTAAGAATATCAACTGTTCGGGTTTCGATTCTATGTCGCAAGCGCACGGGTCGAGAACAAGTAGTAAAAGTGGACCTAAAGAGTCCAAGTCGATCCCTCAGAGAGTGTGGAATTCAATTCGACGTTTATCAGTCTTAATTTTAACGACGACACACACACAGATTTAAAAATGCTTGTAAAATTCTAAAAACTACAGTTAGACTAAAAAAAACTAATAAAAAGGCAGATAAAAAAGTAAAAAGGTTTTGGTTTTGAAAAGATGTTGGAATTTATGTTTTACTTAACCTATACTTCATTAATGTCAATTCATTCACGTGCAAATGCTAATCATCAAAATAAGTAGTCAGACCCGATTTTCCAGTTTTAGCTAATACCCTCTTTCGAGCGAATATTAACCCTAATTAGTCAATTCATACCACATATTTCTATGTTGATACAAAATTGACCAATTGCATGATTTTCTGTGAAAATACTCAGCGGATCACATGAGGTAGGTGTATATTTCTACATCACCTAGACGCGCCTGGAACACCAAGCAAACCCATGGTATCAATCATTTCGGTCTAATTAATGCAATCATTGTTCAACAGTCACACATAATTACCTAATAATTTCATCTAGTTGTCAATTAGATGAATCGAACACTTTGGTCTATTAAATGCAACTATCTTGCAACAATCACATTAAAATTAATTACAATCATTTAAGCGTCACCAAAAATGATGTAAAACCTAATAATTTCATCTAAGCGTCACCAAAAATGAAATCATTTTAAACATGATGATTGATACACTATTATTTTGATAATCAATGCATAATAAAATTCTAATAAACATATACTTAACATTAATGAAGCATTTAGGTTAAGTTACTAGATAAATTCCAACAAAAAGGGCTTAGTTCATCATCACAAACATAATAACAAGGGGAATCATGTTCCAATACATTACAACAATGGAAAAATAATGGAAGAACAACAAGGTTAAAGATACAACCCTTTGAAGCCAAGTTTTGAGTTCTTCCAAGGTGTTTTCCCAACTTCTTCAAGTTAATCTCCCTTGCTATCCACTTTTGATCACCAAAATGAACCAAGATCACAACCAAAACAACTAACTAAATTAAAACTAAAGAAAAGAAAAGAAAAGAGAAGAGAAAAACCATGAAAGTGTAGAGAGAAAAACTAGAAAAACTAAACTAAACTAAAAAACTAATTATATCTAAAACTAATATATCCTACCAACTAAAAAACGTGTAGGCACTATCTAAAATATCAAGGATAGATATTTTGTTTACTTAGCAAATAAGTAATCAAAATATCAAAGGAAAATTGCATCTAAGTCCCCAACTTTTTGGAAAGTGACAAAATGGTCCTTCAACTTTAATTTAGTACAATTTGGTCCTTGACTTTTGACCTTCATTTCAGTTAGGCCCTTTATACATTGCATTTCAAGTCCTTCATCTTTGTGGCATATGCAACTTGGTCCCTAACTTCACCAATTTGTACACTTTTAGTCCATTTCTTCACCTTTTCACTCCATTTTTCGCGAATTCGAGTATCAAGCCTACAAACATACAAAATTACACAATTATGCATGGAAATCAACTCAATTTAAATCTCAATTAAATACAAAAAGTGATAAATAAGTGTGTAAAAACACACTTATCATCAACCTTAATTCCTCTTCATCGTACTTGACATCCATCCATGGTCTTCAAATCAACGATGATTTTCTCGAACACTGATAGATGATCTTCCAAAAATTCACCTCCTGTCAAACCATGAGAATATAAACGCTACTTTAGATGCAGTTTGCTGATTAGACTTTTAGTCATGCATAACTGCTCTGATATCAACCATAATGAAGTGGCACTTTTTTCCTTTGCCACATGTTGAAGAATTTGGTTTCAAAGATGAAGAGGACATTTTATCTAGTCTCAACAGAGTATCATCCAAATCCAATTGGGCAAGAACTCCTCCCATTTTTGTCACAAAGAAAATTTATTGTTGCGATCCAAAGCGAAAATCTCAAATTTCATTGTTCAAACCTCGTTTTAATAACCAATCTGGCCTTCCCAAAAATCGTTAAAACCTTGGCTTTGATACTAATTGTTGAGGACCAGACCAAATAAAGACGAGAATAATATGAGCAATATGAAAAATAATGATCACAAGATTTACGTGGAATCCAAATTCGAGAAATCTGCAGACACGGAAGGAGAATTTCAATATACCAAGAAACTAAAATTGTTTCACAAGATTTAATACTCTCAATGTATATAGCAATGATCTTATTGTTACTTAAGCCTTTTAAGAACCTAATCTTGGTGTTTGGATAAAGTAGAGCACAAAAATCCTGATAAAAATCGAATTAGGAGACTACTCAAGCCATCTAAGTGACCCGTGGTGCCACCGTTGACGCCCCAGAGCCGATGTTGGGGCGCCGAATTCCTGTAGCCTATTTTTTTCTTTGGTGCCTAGGCACCCATTCCACTCGTCTCGACGTTCACTGTGCTACCTCCTCTTGTGCTACCAGTGCTTAGGTGCCCCGTCTTGGCCCCAATACTTCCAAAACACTTATTCATCCATTTCAAAGTCATTTTTCCAATCAAACTCCAAATCCTTGATGTAATTAGACCCCTTATCAATCTGAATTTCCAAATCAAAATTATCTAAACTTTTTCCATGAGCTAAACTTTCAAATCATATGGAATTTAAGTCATATCATAACAAACATGTTTATTCCTTCTCATTCTTTTCCTGATGAAATTTTCTGAGTACGTTTATCTTGTCCACAAAAAGTTGTACATATTTCGTGTTTTGATACGCTACTCGATAGTAATAAAAAGAGCCATTTCATGCCTCGTTGGGAAAGGGCAGGGTGGGACGCAAATCTACACGATTTAATATTTTATATATTTTTGTTTTTAACATTTGATTTTTGTTTTTAAAAATTCCAAAGAACGGTTTAAGTTAAGGCCTCTAGATTTCGGTTTGATCAAGTTATTTGATCATTCTTAACTTTTTCA